TTTTAATTATTATTTATATAATATGTTAAATTTTTATCTGAAATTCATATTTAAAAAGTCAAAAACTTTAAATTAGGTTTACTAAAAATGAATGAAAATAGTAAAAATATAAAAATTGACATTAATTTTAATGTTAGTGTCTATGAATTCAATTAGACAATTAATAAATTAAATGTCAAATTTAATATTTTTAATACAAATTAATAAAAAAAATGCCTATTTATACATTCTTAAATGTTTTCAGATTGGGGTTATTAAGAAAACATGTTAAGAGTGTATAAATATGCATTTTTGTTATTAATTTGTATTAAAAATATAAAATTTGACGTTTAATTTATTAATTATTAAATTAAATTCATACATATGTTATTAACACTAAAATTAATTTCAATTTTTATATTTTTACTCTTTTCATTTATTTTTAGTAAACCTAGTTTCACTTTTTGGCTTTTTAAATATGAATTTCAAATAAAAATTTAACATATTATATAAATTATAATTAAAATTTTTTTGATCAAATAAAAGTACCCAATGAAAATTTCATGTAGGAAGAAAAAACTTTTTTATTGTTATTCATATAAATTGTTAAATTTTCATTTGAAATTCATATTTAAAAAGTTAAAAAATCAAATTAAGTTTATTAAAAATAAACGAAAAAAGTATATATTTATGACAAAAAAGTGTTCTTAATTTGTATTCTTAAACAAATTAAAAAAGTATTTTTTATATTTCCACGCAGAGATAATTAAGATACAGTTCTTCACCTTTTTAGCTTTTTTTCATTTTCCTAATTTATAGTATTTTTTGTTTGATTTTAATTAATATATAAAGAGAAAAAAAATGTTTTTTTATCTCATGAATTTTTTTGATGGGTGCAGATTGGTGCTGAAGCTGGTGGACATTTTGATAAAAAAACAAGGGTTAAAATAATAGAAACAATTAAAAAAAGAGATATGATTTAAAACCAAAATATAAAACCATAGACCCCAACTAAACCCCAAATTTGCAGCACATATTGCAAAAAAATAATAAAAAATAGTTTTAATTGCTGACTCTGTTACAATTAACTACCCAAATTAACGGATGTAGAAACAGCATCAAGAAAAGGATGACAATGAGCGAAATAAAGGGAGTAGAGGGACAACATTTAGTGTGATTTGGAAGTAGAGGGATGACAATGAATAAATTTGTAGTAGAGGGATGGTTATGAATAAAAATTGAAAGTAGATGGATGATAACTGGCTTTAACCCTTAGGAATTTATGGAAATATGAAGTAGAAGTAACGCCACCTACTTTCTATATAGATATATATATATATATATATATATTTTGAACGGGGGGAATGTGAGGGGGGAAAGGGGGCTGCACATTGCAGCTTTGAACTCTGGCTGAAGTCATGAGTTTAAGTGCACTTAACCAAAACAGTCGAAGCTGCGGGTGTGTTTACTTTCTATATTTGGTATATAGTGTATGTGAAATATTAATATTTTTTTATAAATAAAATATTTCTCCAATTTAATTGTAACTAGATAATGTCAATTTTTTATATTTGAATTATTAAATTTAACAAAATTTATAAATAAAATAAAATGGGGTGAAAGGTTTTTGATTATGTCAATTGTAAAATTATTAAATTCAAGTAAATCATTTCTTAAAGGAGTGGAGGTTTTCCGATAGGAGAATATTTAGAATTTAAATTTATTTTAACTTTCAAAGAAAAAAAGATAATGTCAATTTTATATATAAAAATAATTAAATTCAACAAAATTTATCCACAGAATATATATTTATAATTTCCATTTACTCTTTTTTTTATATATATTCAATTTATCATTTTATTATTAGATAATTACAATTTTTAAACAAATTCCAAAAGTAACCAATGCAAAGTATCTACTTTAGTTCAACATTTCTATTATGTCTAAACTTCTTCAAGTTAGAAAATATATATAATATTAAATTAGAAACCCTAATACCAATTATTTAAAATCTAAGAAGCCATCAACAAGTTTAAAATATCATAGAAAATGTATGAGAATATTACTCCATGTTTAGTTTAGTTTTGTTTAATTTCTAGGTTAATGCTAAATTTAGTCCCTCAACTTTACGAAATGAACATTTTTGGTCCCTCAACAATTTTTTGCACTTTTTTTATCCCTTGACTTTAAAAATTGCATAGTTTTGGTTCTTCCGTCAGTTAAGTGTGATGTGGCAGTTAAATAATTTCATGTGGCATTATCTTTTAATTTTTCTGACGATGTGGCAATAATATATATTATAATTATATTATATAAATAAATAAAAATGCCACATATATTAATATTTATATTTTAATTAAAAAAATATAATTACCTTATTACCCTCACCCTCTCAAACCCTCTTCTTCCCTTTCCTTCTTTCTTTCCTACCCTGGGTCGGTGCAAAGATGAACCCAACAAACGAAACCCAGCCTTCCTCACCCTCCCAATCCCTCTTCTTCCCCTTCTTTCTTTCTCTTTCTTTCTTTCCCACCCTAGGTCGGTGGAAAGCTGGGTTCATCTGAACCCAGCAGATGAAACCCAACTGCTGGGTTTCGATGAACCCAGCTGTTGGGTTCGGTTGAAACCCAGCCTTGCTGGGTTCGACGAAATCTAGCAGATCTGGGTTTCGACGAACCCAGCTGCTGGGTTCCTCTGCTGGGTTTCGTCGAACCCAGCTTTGCTGGGTGCGGTTGAAACCCAGCAAAAGTTGGGTTTCGGTTGATTACCTTCTTCTTCCAATTTTTCGAAAAAATCCTTTCTTCTTCCAATTTTTCGATCTTCCCATTCATTACCCGTGAGCCCTTCATCTCTTAATTCTTTCTATTCTACCCATGAAGAATCTATAATCACTTGCAAATCTAGATCAACTAATTGTTCTCGTATCGTCAGTTAACAATTTGATTGCATTTTCCTTGAAATTTGATTAGAGTTTAATTGTATTTTTGTTGAAATTTGATTAGAGTTTGATTGATATTATTTATTGAAAGGTTAATTTGATTTGATAACATCTGCTAGGTTTGAGGCTCCAATGAAACCCAGTAGCTGGGTTCAATGACAGAGAATTCCTCTGGTTCATAGACATATTATTTTGTAAGGACTCACCCCACTAGCAGTAGAGGCAACCCAACTTGAGTTAGATTGATTTTGTAGAGAGAGATTGATTTTGCAGAGAATGAAGGTGAGAGACCATTTTAGGGTTCACAGATCTTATTGGTGGTTTGCAAGCAACGTGAAAGCCATTGAAGGGTCTTTGGTGCAGGAAGAAGATGACATGTCATAAAAAAAAAATCCATATCAGCACTTTTTAAAGTTGTCCTTGCCATGTCATAAAAAAAATAAAAAATGCCACATGGCCGAGTTAACGGCTCAAATTGACAGAAGGACAAACGTTGTGCATTTTTTAAATTTGAGGGATCAAAAAAGTGCAAAAAATTGTTGAGGGACCAAAAATGTGCAACTCACTAAAGTTGAGGGACCAAATTTAGCATTTAACCTAATTTCTATATTGTACCTAGCAATCAATAGTCTTTTCCTTTCTCTTTCAAACATTTTATTACAATTTTCATGTAGTATGCTCTAATTCATCATTTATTTTATTTTTAAGGCCATTCTAAGGTTAGATATCAAAGGTAGTGTACGCTTTTTTAAAATTTGTGGAGTTGATAAAATAGAGGCTGGAAGGCTTCAAGTGCACTTTGTCATGTTCACCACCATGTGTTTGTTAAATTGCCTAAGTGAGATTGAGTTGAATTTTTTTTGTTGTCAATATACTTATCTGTCTTATTTGTCTTTGTTAAGGTATTTCGGCATATTTTTCAAGTTGAGACATTTTTTGAAAAGAGAAGAAGAGTTACATTCTTAACTTTAATCTAGGCGATTAATACTTTGTTATCCGTTACGAGTACTTGGTATCTTTTTAAACAATGTAGATTTTCGCGTACAAGACTTAATGGGGAATAAAGTGATACTTGCGCATGATTGCATCTGCATGAGTTAGTTAAGAAGGTAGTTTTGGTGGTAGATAATGAATTCAACATACACAGAAAGTCCTTATAAATAAACAATATGTGATGTACTTTATTTACCGATAATATTTAAGTAAGCCACATCAAAGACAAAAATGATATGAAAGTTTCAGCTAATTTATAATTTTTTTTATTTATATGTTATCTTTTTATATTAGTTAATTATGTAATTTGACTAAATGATATATTTAAAACTAATGATTGTCATCAATTGATTATTTTAATTTAATATTTGTAAAATTAAAGTACTATTATATATTTTTATTGAAAAATACTATTATATTTAAACTTATTTATTATTGAAATTTTATTTTTTTAGATATTAGCTACAAAGGTATTTTTTGGTACTAAAATTAGTTGTCATATACATTTTCTGTGACAAAATTTTTTGTCAAAGATATATGTTATAATTACACAAATACCCCCTTGGCTTAATATTAGTTTAAATAATTAGTGGCATGGAAATTGTATTAGTGACGAGTTTCTTTATTACAAACGTATGTTGTAATGACAAAAATACCTTTTTTTGGTTCATTATTGGTTTAAATAATTAATGACTAAATATTTCATCACTCAATTGCATTTATAATATATTTTTTTATCACTCAATTGTAACCTATGAGATGAATAAAATTGTTACAAATAATCTGTTAATGATGTAAATTTTTTCTATCACTATAAAATTTTTTTTGTAATAAGTATTAAATTCATCACTAAAAACATTAGTAATAAAGATTTTTTTAACGATTTAAATTTCATCAATAATTCTAGCTTATGATAAAAAATAAGGATTTATTGACCAATAATTTATTAACAAAATGTGAGTTTTTTTGAAGTAGTTGGGAGAGTTTTCTCCCTTATAGAATCCAACACAGCTCAACTTCGAATTAATTAGAGTTTAATATGACTTCTAAATATTGAGGATTTAGTAAAAAAAAAAAAAAGTAACAAATAATAGTATTGAGGAAATATAGGGACAGTTCTGAGGCGAACAAGTGGTGCTGGCTTGTGTAGCTCCAGCGCTCACAGACGAGATAAGAAAGAGAGAAGAACCCCAATGAGGACCAGCCTGAAAACTAGGACCAACTGCCTTTTGAGGGACAAACTCTTTGACCGCCTTAGAAACCCTAGACGACAGGGCTATTGAAAGAACATCATTTTTGGATGCTCGTGCTATTTAAGCATTTGGAAGCGTTATAATAATATTAGTGGCTATTGACTAATCTCCCTATTTAGAAATAATTATTATTTTTTATTTTAAACTTATCTCAAATTAGTTTTTATTTTTTTTATTTTTTAAGTAAATAAATATTTTTTCCTACCTTAACTCTATTATTATTTATTTATTTTGATTAATTATCTCATCACAAGAAATCTTACTTTATTTTTACCGTTTTTCCTAAGGTAATATAAATAAATACATAAGTGGTTCTTAAATCATTAATTTGAAAAAAAAATTCAAAAAATGACAATTGTTATGAGACAGGGGAATACCAAATCCAGTTTCAAATAATTTTGTATTAAATCATAAAATGATAATAATTTTGCATTATTATTTTTTTGTAATATATATTGATTAACAAAAAAAATTGTAAATACAAAATTACAAAATTTACAAATAAGGAGCAATTTTTGGTATTTTTTTAATTTTTTAATTTTTAGCCACAATTTTTAATTAGTACTTATATAATTAGTTTTAACTTTATTTTTTGTCTTTAATAATATTAAGTAATTGTTTTTACATTAACTTATCATAAAAAAAGTATATTAGTTTACTAAATAAAATTTGCTAATTAGATGAAAAGATTAAAA